CATTCAAACGGAAAGTCGTTATTGCGATATCCTGCCATGGAGGCGGTGAAAGGTTAATATTAGTGTATTCCGTGATAAGTGGTGTGCGTGCGAGTGTGCGTGCGCGCGTGTGGAAATGCTCTCCCATGCGTGTGTTGATTTAAAACTAATTTAGTGTGGCTTGAGTGTGCTGGCTTGATAAAGGGTAGCAGGGGGACAAGGCTTAGAACTGCGTATTGATGTGCATGTCCCGCATTTAACGTTGCCATTTCAAATCAGATCGATGTAAAATTGTCATGCGTTTTGGCGGAACGCCGAATGAATGCTATAGTAAACGCGTGATGTGATTTCTATTTTTTTTTAATAAAGATTTGAAGCTATTTTCCAGATGTTTGAAGCACGCAAGCACTATATTAGCATAACAGATGCTATAGGTGGGATGATGGTCAATAACCAATGGGTGAAATGATTCAAGTGAGCTAAGCACACTCGCTGTATTTAACATGTGTGGCACGTTTTATCACGATGTGCTGATAAAACACGAAATCAATGTTGATATATTGATTGCGAGTTCATGACTCACACCCCAGTTGTTTATTTATGTGTTAGCTTTGCACAAACAAACAAAATATCTAGATTGAGCCATTAACAAATGTGTGTTTTTGTTATATTTTTATTCTTTTAACTTTTCAGTATTAACATAACGATAAAAACAATTGAATGTTTGTTAATATATCTCTTAATATGATTCCAAAGGTTTGTTCAAAACATCGTTGTGGACACAGTTAGGATGCATGTTTAAACTGACCACGTTAAATGTTTGGCCCCTCGACGAAGCAATTCAGATTAAATCCTCACAATCACAATTGCTAAAAATATACAACACGTATATAATTGCAACTTTTTGTCAATCCACCGCTGAATGAAGGCCTCGGCTGACATCAGTGCCGAGTGATATCCGAACCATGCCGTAACGACGAGCGTGGTGAAGTATGGTGAAACAATTGCGTTATGTTTTATTTTTATTATTTTATTACTTCCCTTCTACGTGACTTTACCGAAAGAACCAAGAAGATGGAAAGACCTTTTACTTACTAACTGGTGGGGTTAACGTGACATTTACCTCTGTGTAATCCAATGGGAGCAGACTACAAGGAATATATTCTTAATGCCACATGTTTGTGTCGTGATCTCCCCCCCCAACATAGCATCATGTTCACTAAACAATTGAGAGATGTGGTTGCTTAACACATGGCGATGAGGCGGGGATGACAGGAAGACACACCGGAGGTGTGTTTCTTCTCCTGTTTGTTGCTGTTGCTTTTCTAAGGATTTGCTGGCTTTCCTGAGGCTTAGACGACTAAACGCCAACCCCCAAGCAGTGTTATTGTAAGCAACCATTGCATGTGTCCCCAAGGGAACTTTGACACCAACTCATGGAAGTGTGTAGATCCCTTAAGTGTGCTAGACATGAGAGGCTTGGCAATTTACATTTCCAAGTTGAGACTGAAACCTTCTGAGCAGCGTTAACCCAGAAGAACCAGTTGTTGTGCGAGCTAGACGTCAGATTGTCCAACCACTTAATTCGTTTGCTGTAAAATTTACATTTCCAACGGTAACAGCATCAATCGCACGAGTAATAGCCGGTGTAACAAACTCAACAATTAAATCCAACTCCGGTACGGATTTCCATAGAATAACAATAATAGCCATAGGTCGGTTTTGCTTGGATGGCAGCAACTCTCAATATGAATCCGACCACCTGGGAATGTTGTCATCCGCCATTAATTGTGTGCGTGCGTGGGGGGGATGTGGTAACACGTGCGAGAAAAGTAAGCACACACTTGCCTGCTGAGCTACGGCAGCGGTCGGTACAACAAGACCTGCGCATCACAAACGTTCCAAACGCGAGGCAGAACCAGTTGTATTGTTGCGTACCTCATCGCAATAATCATCATCATCATCATGAGCCATTATCTATCCACTACTAGATCAAGGCCTTACCCCCATGCGGTCAGTAGCCATCATAGTCCCGTGATGCCACAAACTATCTTAATCTGGAGGCGACTATCTAGCGCTGAGCAGCGCGCGTCTGCTCAAGAACATGTACCTTCACTGTCGGACGATACGATATCTCTCATTTGTGTTTGCTCCCTGATCTACACGTCTTACCTCTGTTCCTGTATGTATGTTGAACTTCTTTCACACCGTACATAGCTAACCGTGCTAATCAGAGGTGCAGGGGAAGCACACCAAACTAAAATCAGACCTACGAAAAAATGAGTTTTCAATCTAGAACTGCGTGTGATGCTGGACAACAGGTAATTGAGCAGGGCTTGATGACGTTTCAGCTGGGTATGGTTTGTGGTGGTGGCTGTATTTTGTTTAAGAGGCCAGAAAAAACAAATAATATTTTCTCAGATTGACTTGGTCGAATTCATGTCTATTCCGCTTCGCTCTAATTTAAACCCGCACACCAAGCTAAGTCACGGCTGATGTGATCTATACTGCACAAACACCTTTTTTTTCTCTTTGCCTACTTATTTCCTTCTGCTGGAAGGCTCCTAAATTCAACGTAGCCTAATTTACCATTCCCAAAAGCACAAGGGCAAGGATTGTGCTACTAAAATCCCATCTACGCATGAGGGCCTTTGTCCCATTTGCTTAGATAAGCAGTTCAGGTATTTCCGCTGAACTTGAATTGCGGGGCCAACCTTAATCTGTTTTATTAAAGAGTAAGCCACAGAGATTTTGCACTTTGAGGACCGGGGTCTCATAAAGCGATAAACCCCCTTTGGTCCTAGATCTTTTTTTCGGATGTTCAGAAGGGACATCTTTTAATTTAACTCATACACAGTCACTTTTCCTCTAGAGGTTAAAGAGATTGCACTTCTGCTCCAGAGATTACTCTTCACTTAAAATGAAACTCGAGTCAAGTTGTCGGTTTAAATGAGCAAAGGGGCGATGGCACACTGTTAGTGAAGGTTTGCCAGCAGTGGAAATTCTACTTGCCTTATGGCAGAGGGCAGCGCCTCTCCATAGAATCCATGGAATTACGGCACCAATATGAACAAAGGTTGGTTTAACACGTAGGCTTTCGCGACCAATATCATCCATGATAAAGGTTTTTTTGGGTTAGATCGCGTAAATATAAATGTGTCGTTAAACCCGCCACCACCCGACACAGCCAATTAGTAAGGTTTGCCACGTAAACGGAACATGCCAATTTGCTACAAGTACAGTGTGTTGGAGAGCAAATACATAATCATTATTATTGTGATCACTGCTGCCTTTGTGCAAAGTGGTGGCACTTATTTAATTTATCTAGAAGAGAAGCTGGGCCGTGTGGACCCCCAACCCCCGGAATTTAACTCGCAACCTTCGAATCGTGAGACAAATTGCCTTTCCAGAAGCGCACACGCGACTAAAATTGTGGACAAATAAATGGACCACTTCGTGTAATTTCACACAAGTCCACGTGACCGCGCACCCTTTGAAAGTGACTGGCTCTGTGCGGTTTTTTTCTCTCTCCCTCTTTCTCACAGTCCCATTTCTGCTAACATGGATGCAGTGGGTAGCAGCACGATGACTAACATTACCCACTACCGCAGTGACAACTTCTGACATGCACAGTCGCTCGTGCATGTCCACCATGCGTGTAAATCGCAGCGCTACTGCCGCTCGTTTTATATTGCATTGTATTTCACCGAGGAGTGGGCCACAGGATTCTGCAGAAGGTCCACAGCCATTTGACTCGCAATATTATTCTTTACATTGCTTTTGCAAGAGGTAATATAATGCAATGTTTTAAAGGAAGGCAGTGGTTCTTTGTAAGAGTCAGCGTTGTGAAAGCTGTAAATATTCTAGGCAAAAGAAGCATACTAACACGTGACTGGATCCAAGAAACCCATATGTAGGTTTATTCTTTAAAGATATGGGACATTTCACAAGAATAAAAAAAATATTATATATTCGCGCATAACAAATTATGTACAGCACATCAACAACAAAGCTATCAGGATATTCTTCCATTTATGTTATCAAAGTTAGACGTAAAAACTTTTTTTCCCAACAAAACATTGCTTTAAAAAGGTTTTCACGACACATACAGCGTATAGTCACAAGAACAACAACAACAGCAATCAAAGAGGTGAATGTTTTGTCTGTGCTGGGGTTATCCTTACAAATATAAAGACATCTCCACATGTGAAACGGCATAATCTACAGCGTGTGTCTCATTACAAAAGACCACATTGATAGATGGAACAAAAGCAATGTTGCTCTATCTACCACATTTGTGCACACATTCCACTTGTAAACATAATCAATGGACCATGGTCCGTAACTGCCATGCAATACGGCATTATTACAATAGAACTTGGCCCAATACTCTACAGAACCCGGCTCGACTTGAATGTCGTCCATATCTCATGGCAGACGACAGCCACATTTTTTGGTTGGGTGGTGAAACAAAATGGTTAGCGAGCGCCAGGCCAACCAACCAGCAAGGCTTCAAAAGTTGCAAGGGTTCAGCAGTTCAAACAGCATCTCTGCTCAGTAATTCTGCAACGTGCAAAAATAAAATGCAGTCTGCTACAAGGTACACTTAAGGCCGCTCCGTACCCGAACCGAGCAACAATATTTCAAATCGGCAGTCATAGCAAATTCACTCACGATCAGAAGGCTTGCGAATTCAACTCTCAGTCAGGGGTCAATACAATCCATCATCCCTCTGGGGGTCATTACATATGTACCACTTTGCAGGAAGTCGACAATGGTTGTCCGACAAAAATACTGGCCCCATGCCACAGGAAAGAAGGATTTCCTCTACTGGCTAAAGGGCTGCCAATGTAGCAGCACTTGGGCTCAATATCAGCTAGAGCTGTCCAGGGCTGGGCTCCAGAAAATATGCCTCACCCCCCCCCCCACCCCGTTTGAACCCAGTGACAGTGCAGCGACGGACTCACGGACACTGGCACCAACATCGACACGGCGCTTTGGTTGCAGGTCGGGGCACTTACGCGGACGTGACGCAGCTCATGGCCTTGAGGCTGGCAGGATTGCGAATCATCTTGTCCAGGGTGCTCACGATCTGGCCGAACTTGGGTCGGTCGTTGCGACTCTTCTGCCAGCAGTCGAGCATGAGCTGGTGCAGGGCTGCTGGGCAATCCATGGGTGCCGGCAGCCGGTAGTCTTGCTCCACTGCATTGATAACCTGCGGCGGGTGGGGGGCAATATCCATTCATAGAAATGCTCATTAATTCATTCATTAATTTGTTTCATCATTCAATAATTCATTGTTGTGTTGACTGTCCCCCCCCCTCCCCCCCACCATTTCGTGTGTTTTATTTTATTAAGTATAAAACTTGATTTGAAGTTTTCGTGACTGCAGAAGTTACTCTTTGGTTCTTTCGGTAAAGTCACGTAGAAAATAAATACATTTATTAAGCATATTTCACCCTCGCCAACATTGGCGCTGTGATTAGAGCAGTAGATTGACAACTGGAAGGTTATGTTTTTAAATGCCCTTCAAGAGTCGATTCTGGCTAAGAGAGGTCTGTGTTTTCATGAAATGATCACCGTATAAGAAAGAAGGCCCCATGCCAAAGGACAATGGAATTTCCCACGGCCGGCTCTAGAACCACCCACAAGCACCGTCTCAATACTCGTTCGAGAGCGCAGACGTTATGATGCGTTTCGCTTTCTCTCTAAACGCCGTAAAAAGGCACCACAATTATCACATAGCAGATCGACAATGGAGCGGTTGTTTGGACGGAGGGTGGTTGGGTGGGAGATTTTATTTCCAAGTGACTATCCTGTTAACAAGCAATTCAAGACCAGCAGGGTTTGCTTTCAATGCTAATTGCGGTGGATGGATTGGCACAGCCAAACAAGCTGCCACTGCTAGCCGCACAAGTTTTGGCAGATTAACAAAACTTAAACCCGCTCTGACCTCCCTTGAAAGCAGGGTCAGATAGAAAGGCAATTATGTCTGTTTCGTGCCACATTAGGGCTGACGCACGTGCATAGGGCCGGCCATAGCAGTCACACAAATTTAGGCCGAACGTCGCGGCAAGATGTGGCATGTGTCACCGGCACCCGGGTTTTGTTGACAAATAATTAAGCGTAAATACAAGCAGTTGGGAGAGCATTTCTTTTTTGTGCACGGCAGGAGTCATGCTCACAGCGTGTCAGGTTGAGAGTATCCATCTTGCTCCACATGAAATCCTTCAGCGCCACTTTGGAGCTAAGGGAACTGTACTCGTTACATGTCCGAGCACGAATCGAATCCAGGTCAGAGAGGTGACCGCTGAACATAGCAGCGCAGCTGCGGCTTTTTATTTATTTACTTTATTTTTTAATTGATTCCGATTAAAGCTACTGTTATTACGAACCATTTCAGTGTTTCTATTCCATAAAAAAAAAAAATTTGATAATCGCTTTGGAAATATAATCTTTTTTTTCGTTAAGGAATACCCCCATTCCAGACGGAAAACCTGGACAATCTACTTGGGCAACGTCAATAATCCCCAAGGCTTCTCACTCCTGGGGAGCTTTACAGACTGCTGCACAAAATAACAACTCAATTCTCAGCAACATCAAACCGGGTCACAGGTCGCCACTTGAGTGGGTGGTCAGCTGCAGGCATTTCCCAAACTCTGACCCACTGTGTCAACTGTCAACAAGCGAGGCGAAGGTCCAAACAACCTCGCCGATATTTTTTCTGGTGACGACACTTTTCCCCCACATAACGTGAGACAATGCCCCGTTTTTTTTTTATTTTGTTAACACGCCCAAGACAAAGAGATATAGCCTCAACAGACTCTTGAGCAACGTGCTGCTATAGCAAGCACCTATTATTAACCTTCGCGTTGCACTTAAAGGTTGCTGATGTTTACCAACCACGGCGGTTAAGTCAAATTAATGGTAAGTAAAACTACGGGGGGGGGGGGGGGGTGGCTGCGCAAGTTGAGATAACATTTTGCCGCCGATGTTATGCACGGCTGGAAATCGTTGGGATCCTAGCGGGGTAAGTTAACCACTGCCCTCCTCTCCTTCCCCATCCACCTCCCCACATAGACAAAGACCCCCTGTATAGCCTGAATATATTGTTGGAGAAAGTGCTGTTAGCGAGCACCTATGAAGGCCGGCACGGCACACGAGGGGGTGGGTGGCCAGCACCGCGCCCGGCCGCCTTTGTCTCCCCAGTGGTGATGTTTTTACACACTGACACCAGGTTACTTATTTGAGGCTGAGTCCACCTAGGGGCGGCCCAAGACTGGTTCATATAATCGTCACTGGTGTTGGCCACGAGCAGGAATCGAAGTATGCGTACACACGTGCGCAGCGCACACACACGTACACGTTCTGCCCCAAATCACGGTCTTTAAGATGCGCATTGCTAACTCACACGTCGGTCGACATGAGGACTCAGTGGCTCCGCCGACTAAACAGAGAGCTCTGTTCAAAAATACACTATGCAGTGTAGTGCCACGTAAATTTAATTTTAAGAACTCCGACCCGGAAGGCTTCCACCCATCAAAGAGCTAACTTCAATGCGAGGAGTGGGGGATGGAAATGGCTCGCGCAGCGAGACGGATCGTGCCTCGGAACGGTGCCAACCGCCAGGGCGATCCGCACGCGCACCCTCAACCCCCTCCCCCCCTCCCAGCTTGCGTCCGTGCGTGCATCCGTGCGTGCGTGCATCCGTGGCGGGCGTGCGTGCGTGCGTCGCAATGCCGTGTGTCACTCGCAGTTACACGCGCCACACCGCGCTGCGGTTAGAGCTGAGCGCGCTCACCGAACCGTAGACCGCCGAGCGGAGTTCGGCACACGGGGAAAGAAGACCGCGCAGTCGAGCAGCCTCGTATCGCTTACCGCCAGCAATGTTTCCTTGCAAGCCGGCGGTAATTGCACAAATTGCCGACAGACAGACCTCCCACAACCCCCTACCCCCCCCCCCAAAATAATGAATAACAGAATGTAAAATGCATAACTAATGTAACGTGCGTTCCATGTTTCCCGGAGTAGGATGTGCTGCTCATTAACTGTTTTTGCTATTTAGTTTTCCAGTGGTTCTTGGCAATGGAGAGGCACTCCCAGCTAAAGAAAAACCACCCAAAAATCTGATAAACATGCATAACGTATGAGTTTTGTTTTTGTATAATATATATATTTTTACCACAAACACAACAGCTACCGTGAGTATGTTAGGAGTCGGAGCATCTCGTGATGTTTCTATCGCGCGGGTTACACCCACCTCCCAAATACGGTTTGGCCAGTGTTGGAAGAGTAGGCCAAGGCACGCTCTACAGGAGCTCTCTTGATCTGATTTTAGTGGAACCCTCTGTGCCAGCGATGGCGTGAGCGAGTAAGTTTACCCAGTTGAACCTCCTCACCTCTCTTTTAACCAAAGGCTATCACCGATATTCAATCTGTGTAACACGGTATTTTGAAAGCAACCTTATTTAATAATTTAATCAAAATTAATTTACTACATTTGACAATATCCATCCAGGAGTGTGTACTCCAAACCGCACGATTGATTACCGATGACAAATGATGCACCTTGAATACTCGAACCCCACCAAACACGACCCTGCCAGCCCTGGCCATCGACTAACTATGCTGTGCCCTTTCATATTCTTGGGTGGGCAGAGGCGAAGGGGGTATTTAAGGAACTGGCACCATCGCTTCAAATGCAGCAACAGAAGATTTCATCGAACCGGCGACCAGGGACTTGGAAGTCTAGCGTGCTAACCGTTCGACCGCAGCGACATCCCACTTGTTTTAAGTGCAATGCATTACACTTGAAAATCGAACTCTTTTCAGGAAAATCGGAATGTTTAATTAGCTCGTGGGGTCAAGATGTCAGCTGATAAAATGTGACTATTAAGGTTCTCGAATGGCGCCTTCGTGTCCCCTTACAGTTTCGCCAAAAAGATTGTCCTGCTTATTGATCTTTAAGCGACCTTTTAGTATATCACTGCGTGTGTAAGATCAATCTCCACGAGGCTTGTCTCAAGAAGAGAAATAAACAAACACAAAAAAAACTCAACAGGTGTTTTCGATCACTGGGAACATAAGTTTTGCAGGAGGCAATGTTCAAACCACTAAACACAACAAAGGCTAGAATTTAATGAATGTATAGGAATGAAAATTGTACGTGAAAAAAAACCACAGACATTTTAAGTTTATGGTTCAAAAACACACATTTTGCAAGCTTCGCAATTTTTTTTTACGCAGCTGCACAGTTCACATATTTTTTCCCCGTGCTCAGCTTTGTGTTAGTTTTACGTTTGTAATTTGCGGCAACTTAATTATCGCAGAATCGAATTGAAATTAATTTGTGCGCCTTGAATAAACTTCACGTATTGTTTCTGACTATGAAACCTGACAGTTTCTTTTGCATGGCAAACCAAGGAACACAGACATATCAAATGCTATTGAAATCTCCCAGAGGGCCCTCCCTCATTCCCAAGCACAGAGCACATTGCACGCGCCACAAAATGGTGCCGTATTTATTTTGGAGTAGCTGCTTCGGGAACGTGCCAAATTGCTTTTGGCCCAATTTTGAAACAAAACTGCCCCGAATTCCACCCCTAATGCAAAACACTCCCGCTCAGCTACTTTTGAGTAAACAGTTGTGCTCGGGTTGGAAAACCTGAGCACAGATGATGTACTCCGCTCAGTGATGCGTTAATACAGTCGGTGACGGTTCCAATGTGCCATTTGTTTGCGGGAGATATGTTCCCATTCGAAGATTTTCTAATTAGCTGCAGACTATTTTTTACAATAGAAGACTATTGTAACACTTCATCACGAGCAAAGCGGGCCACAATGATCAAGGACATTACATAGTAATGAAGCAGTTAGATAATTATAATTGCCCTAATTTATGCAGTGTGAAAAGGGCTATATTTCATATGAGATTGTGGCTAAAATATAAATACATCTTTTTTTATTTTGGTGTACGTAGGTTGCATTTTAGTGATGAAGTCGGTGTAAAAATGATATACTGCATCTGAATATTAACCTTAGTGGTGGCACTTCTTCATAAAAAAGCCTTTCAATAATCTTACTAGGGAGATCAGAGCTTTAAAATATGGGCTTAAACATACAGTTGGCATGCCCCCCTTTAAACGCATCGATGAGTAATTGCATCTACTTCATCACATGAGCCATGACCTAGAACGGCACAGCACCTTGCTTATAAAATATAATTTTAGACTTTGTTTAAGAACGCACGGACAGTTAAAGAGAGGCTGCTTGCTTGCGCGATGGTTAGCGCACTGGACTTGCAGTCCAGAGGTTGACAGTTTTATCTCTCGGCATGGCAATTGAAACAAGGTTTTCCTAAATCACCCCTGCCTTAGCAGTGTAATTGGTTACACTGGTCCGCGTGGTGGGGTAAATTGTGGGTACTCATACTTCTTCCAAAAAAATCGATTTAAAGCTTCCGTGACTGCAGGGATTCATCTTCTTGGTTCTTATGGTAAAGTCACGTAGAAGGGAATTAATAAAAAAATTAAACATAATAAAATACAATTCTCACGACGTTTCGGCCACAACGCAAGCAGCCATCCTCAGGTGAAGAACAGGGCTGTTGGAAAGACAGCGTCTGAACGAACACCACCAAGCTTGGAATTGTATTTTATAATGTTTTATTTTTTTATTATTTCCCTTCTACGTGACTTTACCGTAAGAACCAAGAAGATTCTACCAAAAAATCAAGGCGGCATGAAAGAGAATGCCAGAAAACCTGCTTAGAGGGGGGGGGGGGGACCTCTCAAGCCGCCCCAAGCGAAGGTGTGCTACTCGCCAGGTTTGGCATGAGCAGGTAACTGCAGAGCTGCACTTTAACTGTCTTTAATTCTCTTTCACAGGTAGTAAACGACGTCGTCAAGGAAGCTACGCAAGCGGCAAACTGTAAAAGCCATTGAGAAGCCCAGAGCTGTCTCGATAGAGCATTTTCAACAGACACCAAATTTGCACTGAATATAGTGTAGTTCCCGTGGCAAGAAGGTGTTTTATTCATTATTCAAACTTAAATACTTTATAGTAGGCAATTTTGGATTTTATTTCACAAGCGAAGTGGCATGAAGTAGGTCATTGCTTCCGAATTGTAAAAAAAAACAAGAGGAACGCAAATGCAATATTTCTCAAGTGTTAAGATGTTTAAGTACAATACTCTTCATCTGTATTATAAATATTTATATCTGCTCAGGTATCATGTGTGTATTAAACGCATCTAATGTTAACAATTGTATATCTTATATACAGTAAATACAGTAACTCTTCTTTGGCACATGCAGTTGGAAGAATATATTGGGCTTAGATAATAAGTGTGAGAGCAATTGTTGTTACTGCTTTTAAATGTATATATGCACACCGTTATAATGTACATTTGCAATGTATGCACCATTACCTTACACAATGGTTAAATTTAATTAAACAAATATCACGATTGGTTTAATTAAACTTTTAATTACATAGTATGCTCATTCTCCAAAAAGGTAAATCACATTCCAGTCACAATGCAATTACAATGTAGTGTGGAGCGGTGGTGCAGTGGTTAGGGCACTGTGTTACGAACCCAGCCACCTGGGTTCTATTTCTGGGTCACAACTAATATTAGTAGCAAGTGATTTCAGCCTGTTTTAGATCCACTATGTAATTACATGCATATGGTTATTTACAAAAATCATTAAACATTTGTCTAATTCATATATATGCTGTCTATATAAAACAATGTTGCTTACTTAAAGTAAATATTTTATTTGACAGTTGGTAATGAAATTGTATAATGTCACATTAAGATAACCACAATTGTAATTTTTAAATATGTACATTCTGCACATGTATTGTGTATGGAATTCGTTTGATTTGGTGTGGCTTGCAGTTTAATGAATATAAAAGGCTTCTGCAATGTAGCAGAGAGCAAGCACATTCAATCGAGTGAGCTTAGCAAGTGCAATTTAACAACGCTTACGTAAAATAAATAAAAATCTCCACATCCAGTGTTTATGGACATCTTATATTTGATTCCATTTCACTGCATATGGAATAAGAACTTCAAATCAACTGGGAAAACTGAAACATTAAACAGTGTCAGATTATATAAGGCTGCTATTTATCAAACCTGCTTGTCTGTCCACGTTTTGCTAATTGGTCTAAACAAAAGCATAACAACTGTGTGGTTGATTAAAAGCTTAGTTATCCATTTTTTATAAATGTATGCATAAACATACACGTAGGAGTATTCCAATTAGCAGATGTCGGCAATATCATAAAATGCCACAATAACCTTAAGATTTCCAACTGGACCATTAAATATGGAAAAAAAAAAAACATTTGCCCAATGGATAGACGGGCTCCGACCATCAGAACGTGGATCTGCGACAAAGCATTCAGCTCACAGTAGAATGGATGCGAGTTTTAAATAACAATTTTGGATCAGCCCATCATCAAAAATAGAAGCACATTCATTAAAAGTCTGATAGTCCCATTGAAAAACTGACCTTTTGCAGTGGGAGAGTGATATTTCTGCGATTGGCTCAGATCCACTGTCAAAGAACCACCGCGTGGGTATGCCCTGACTGTGGATACTGTGGTGATGTAATGGTAGAGGTTGCCAGAGTGATCTCCCAGTCCACCCAGCAGCAGTATTAAAGGGTACACTACATCATAAGTCGATCGACAGGTCACGCTTGTTGGGGTAGAGTTGCGGGTACTTCACATGATAAGCTACTTTATTGAGTCATCATTTGTGGTGAGGTCACTTCTGAAAAGAGCTATGTAGCTCAATGGGTCTTATCTGGTAAAAAAAAAGAGTTCAAATAGTAATAGTACTCCCACCTCTTCTAAAGTGTCAGGCCAGCATGGAAGAGTAGGCCAATATATCCTCGAGTAGTGATCTCTAGATCTCCTCATCGTGGAGGCCTTTCTGCCAGCAGTGGTGTGAGTAAGATATTTGCAGGGCTGCACCTTTACTTTATTTTTGCGTCTTACACGAAGATTCCCTTCCACAGTAACATTGCTCTTGTTCTGATGCAGCCTGTCACAAATAATAATTGACATTTATAAGGCACAATTGTATCCAGGGATCTCAGTACGCCATTGCACGAAGTCCAGAGACTTTGTAGTATTTGTGTAGGCCTGCAGGTGAAACTGTTGAGTCTTTAGACAAGACCCAAACCGGGCGAGTGAGCTCGCCTGCCTAACCACTGGTGCTAGTGGGTGGCAAGTGGCCTGCAATGATTGGTGCGGGCGGGTCGGTCGAACTCACGTCCTCGTTGGTCATGTCCCAGTAGGGCCGCTCGCCGTAGGACATCACCTCCCACATGACGATGCCGTAGCTCCACACGTCGCTCGCCGACGTGAACTTGCGGTACTGGATGGCTTCAGGAGCCGTCCACCGGATGGGGATCTTTCCGCCCTGTGGAAGCAACGGTGGTCATCGGTGAAACGGCATTGTCTTGTGTGTGTGTGTTTCACAACACGTACCCAAGACAAAGATGCCCCTTGTAGCCTGTAACATACTATTCAGGCAAGTTCTGCTCGCACGCGAGGGGGAGGGCGAGTGGCGAGCACCACGCCCGGCTCCCTTTGTCTCACCAGTGGCAATGTTTACACTCATTTGAAGTGTGCAGGACGGCCGTGTGGAACGGCCGTGCGCTCACCATGCCGCTGGTGTACGTGGGATCCGTCGGGTCGTTCTCCAGGAAGCGCGACAGCCCGAAGTCGGACACCTTGCACACCAGGTTGCTGTTGACCAGGATGTTGCGAGCGGCCAGGTCGCGGTGCACGTAGTTCATGTCGGACAGGTACTTCATGCCGGCCGCGATGCCCGCGCAGCATCCCCACCAGCTGGATCACCGTGAACTGCCCGTCGTTTTGCTGTGGACGCAAAGAGTTTTTAGTTTCGATTTACACCGCGTGTACGTTGAACTTCTTTCGCACTGCACGTAACCTCAGAAGCGATCTGGGCTTCAAATGATAGCTTACAACAAAGTGGCTAATCATTTCGAAACATTCTTACCATTGGATACCTCCAGCATAATTGAACACTATGATTCGGATGCTGAAATATCCACAATGGAGGTTTTTTAGTGAGATAGCGTTAACATATATGCGTCATCAAACCTGCCACCACCCGACACAGCCAATTAGTAAGGTTTGTCACGTAGACAAAACATGCCAATTGGTTACTAGTACAGCATACCGGTGTATTGGAAAGTAAACCCTGCAACATTTACAATTCGAGTGCGATGCAATTACAACAAGCATCATCATGACATCAGCTTCATCCTCTTGATGCAGAGTTTTTTCAATTTTCTGATTTGAAGAAAAGTGTCCTCTTTCTGAGATACCACTTGCCACTGATGTTAGCCGTGGCCGGGAGTGAAATTCAGGTTACCAAGTTCACGGCAGTGGCCTACCATTGCACCACCGCTCCACCCCCAGTCTCTGCCGTAGGATTGTGCCGTTTCCAGCAACCCTGCCTGCTAACGATAAATAATCTCTGCCCCATTTCTTGTTTGAGCGGGGAGGCATTTTGACATTTTACTTAATAAATCTGACAAATGCAAACGACCTCGGAGTGACGGCGTTCGTGTTAATGCTGTACACGGAATGTCAGCAAAATGTGGATTTTCCTCCTCTTAATTGTCTCAGGCCCGAGGCTGTGCCCCTTATTAACGCGTGCGTGCAACTGCCAAGAAAAGAAAAGGCACGTCTTTATGGACTGTTAGCGGAGCTTCAATGGGACTGGCAGCAGCCTACCTTGACAGCCTGCCTCGAATTACCGTCGGATGTTTGGACATGTTGAGAGAATATATACTCGACGCGGGGTCGAGCAGGAGCATTTGGACACTGTTTAGAAGTGCAGGATGCCGCTGTTTGGCTTTCTATTTCGAACGCGGGTAGATGTAAAGGAAATTGCTTCGTTATTTCACCAGCAAGGCAGCGTGAGCACGGACGCGTTTGCATGCCTGCTCTGCACATTAAACATAATCGTCGTAGCATTTTAACAGACCTTCGACAAAATCGCTGCCGAATGAAGACCGCTCTCCACAACTTTTTGTCACGGGGGAATCGTTTCACCGGGCACTTCATCACGATGGTCAAGGCCGGTTTGGCAATGGGTGCTGCACCGGTTAAGATGTCGACTTGCTACAGATATCAATAATGGCCAGCAATTAAACTCCGGTTGCTGGGTTTATGATTGTGCAAAGCGATGCGCCACTGGCTCCATTTAAGTATATATGAGCCGTTTTATATTATAAATAATCATATTTGATTAACCAGTCAAAGATGATCAACTTCTGTTCCATATAATCAATTATCTGTTGATTATCTGGATCTCAGAAAAAACACAGGGGTAGAATGATGAATTTTTTAACTGTTAGCCTCAGTAATTAAGCTCACGATAGAATAATCGGATCGTGTGAATCACAATCCAATTCCTATATGCTGCACCTGTTAAGTTCACACGCCACTCCTGAAGTCAACAGTGGTACCACCATTCATGGGAATGTTAATAAGAAACAATTGTTTGAATCAAATCGTGAGCCTGACTGAGCAATTAATCGAATCGCTGTGGAGGTGAATGGTTAACGCCCCCGACCATTGCAGCCTAAGCATCGTCAAGTTAGGCAATGCATGCAGCAGCCCATATGGCAACAATGGTACAGATACATTGTTACCAAATACTCAACTGACGTGTTAATTTGTCATCCATTAAACCTCAAGAGTTAACACTGAAAAACATTGCTTTTTGGGAATGAACACATGTTGTTTCACAATTAAAATATTAAATACATTTATATAACCATGACCCACTTTACAATCCATTTAGAATTTAGTTCAAAATCGCACGCTCAATGCCGAGCGATGTTTGTTGTTTCTTCATTGGCAGTTATTTTTTTATTTCGTAAAGGAGAAATAATTTAGTGGGCAATGCTTTTAATCACAGAAAGAGAATAACAGTGTCCATTGTGTGCCTCCCTAAATAATGTTTCGGTTTGCATTACATTTTAATACACTTACTCCTGCATTTCTCATACATTCATAATTTTATCATTATACCCGAGCTCAATACGAAGTTACTTTTATTGAGCACATCATTTATAATGTGATGCATACTTTGGTAAAGTTACTGTGTAGGCTGACATTATCATTATTATTTTAAATCTCGTTTTTTTTTTTACTGTCCGAGCTAACAAGATGTTTCCCGAGATGTGTGGATGTGACAAGATAATTCACAATTCAAGTGAAATGCAAAGATGGAGATGACTTGCATTGCCACATGGGTCACTCGTTGTTTAATCAGGCATAGCCTGTAACAGTAAAATCTCACCCATTATTTTAGGCATTCCACATATAAACAGCAGATATGAATAATAATTTGCTGTTACATAAACAGTTTTCTGGCCAAATGTATGTCCTGACCTTGGATAAGCGAGCACATTTTTTAATTACAAAATAGGAAACCAAACATGTCATCATGCTTGGGTTTAGCAAAAACAAAACGTGTGTTTAGATTTCCACAATACCGTTAATTATGCCACTGCATTATATTTTAGACAGCCATCAACGTAATTATCTTACAAAATAAATCAGAATTGGTGCAAAAAGATAAACTGCCACTTGGCTTAAATAAAAATTGGAGTGGTAATCACCTCCATTGGTACTGCTGTGAAAACAATCACACACTCCACATTTCTGTGACAGGGACAGGTATCTCCATAAATAAAGAAAAAAACTGTCGTTGAATTCTCAACAGGAGTATTTATTTTATCTGACCAAAGATGTATAATGAGTTGACCTCCAAGCCAAATTCAACTCATGACCTTTCCACTGTAAAATAGGCACTCTATCCACCGCACGAGTATTTAAAAGTATCAAATTATAACAAATAAAAAATAAAATAGTTATTTCACTCTTAAGCCAACAAATCCATTGGTGCACAAAAGGCCCTGCAGAAATTAATTTGCCCTGTTCTCTAAAAAATATGTATAATACTTCAATAACCACCCTTCATAATCCAATAAATCCTCCAGGAATCTCAATACATTTCTTCAGACATGCTTTCCACATTGGGGTGTTTGGTCAATGGAAGTAGTGAGCATTAGGCAAGTGGAGGGATCCAGAGTTCTGAGTGAAAATCCACGGACATTCAACAAAGCACTGACATCTTCAGACCACCTGGTATTCCCAGGCAGTCTCCAATGCAAGCACTGACCAGGCACAATTCTACCGAGCTTCTGAGATCTGAAACATCATGCACATTCAAGATGTTTTGGTAACAGGCATGACCCACCGACCCACCAACCCCACTAGGCAAAGCACTTAGATTACCAAGTCGCATCGCTACGACTGGCCCAATGAGCGATACCATTTACTGCGGAAGTTTTCACAGCTGCGCTCTACATCTCTCCGATGTGCTTCCTGGTTTTACCGTTTACTGCGTATTGTTCAGCACCATGTACCGAAGATGCTACAAACCACGCGGTGTAAAACATAGGGACATCGTCCCGAACAGCAAGCAGCACAACTTCAACTTGCTGAACTTCTTTCGCACCGTACGTAGACAATAACGCCAATTGCAGGTGCGGAAGAAGGACAACCAACGAGACGGGAAAAAGCGGTTTGAAAGAAATCAGCTTTCAATTCATATTTAAAAACGCATAGCTCCAGTGGCTTACGAATATCGGAAGGAAGAGCGTCCAAGACCCAAAACCACATTGACAAGCGATACCATCGGAGAGCGATACAAACGTTGTAGAGGCCGCAGGCAACACGTGGATAGATACAGACAGGTGGGGGGGGGGATCTCATTGTCGGCTTTTCTACCGAGTGGGGGGTCTTACCCGAAGGAACGAGTCGAGCGATCCGTTCTCCATGAACTCGGTGACGATCATCACGGGCCTGCTCTTGGTGACCACCCCCTCCAGGCGGATGATGTTGGGGTGGTCGAACTGGCCCATGATGCTCGCCTCGCTGAGGAAGTCTCGCCGCTGCTTCTCGGTGTAGGCAACTTGAGGGTCTTGATGGCCACGTACATCTCCCGCTTGCCCGGCATGCGCAGCCTGCCACGGCACACCTCGCCGAACTCGCCTGCCGGGGGGGAAAGACAGCGGCAATGGCTCAACGGGGTTTGCCTGGCATCTGGCCGCTCGATTTAAATGCCCCACCCACCCACCACCCCTGTGCTTCCACCCAGCAGCTCCGAGTGACGACTTTCCGTTACATCTCAATGCCCCGCTGCGGCATGGCTAAGGGGACCGCCAGCGACAGCTGTCCCTACGTGGTACAAAGTGTTTGTGAACACTGTCCTGAAAATGGACAAATTCTGCTGATAGGGGACAATGCTAATATGTTTTTCCCCTTTGAATTAATTTGCGAGTCGTGTTTTAGAAATATATTTGGCAAATTTGGAGCATAATACCGGCACACATGGCCTACTCTTATTCTGGTAACATCAATAGGATCTTTGTGATTCTCTGTGTAGCAGACCCTGCATGTATGTTTAATAGTACCAGGGAAGCTGCTGGGCTCGAACCGTGAACCTCTGCAACAGGCGGCAAATGCGCTACCGCTGGGCCGCGCCACCGCCCCAATAACTATGGTGGTGGTGGAAGCGACAGCAGCAATAGTGGCGGCAGCAGCAGCAGCAGCAGTACCACATCAAGCGGCAGTCAATACGGCAAAGTGACACGTCTGGCCACGTGTGTCAGCGAGCAAGAGCAAACGAGCAAGTGGTGCTGTCTGCGTATGTGGGTCAAAGACAAAGCAAAGTCACAGTGTCTCACACTGCTCAAATGTGCGTGTGTATGTAATACTTCTATCGCATTGTGCGTAGCCAACCGTGGATAGGGTGTTGGTTCAGTGGAGGCAATATCACAAGTCCTGTTGACATCCAAAAGAGGTAATATATTTTTTACAAGAACTCCAGTCAACTCCTAAACCAGGATTTGAAGGGGGGCAATCTTCATCATCACCATCATAATTTATTATTCATACCGTGCCTCCCATGCAGTACATCTTGAGCGGAGCGCTTGAACCACTATGCCGCCCATGAGCATTGTGTATCTATCTGCACTGCACGTAATATAGCGGGAACGCACAGCCTCGGCGTAGGCCATTCATCTGCAACGCACGCGCACGCACGGGCCCACGTAAAGCTCCACAAATGATGTGATCAGCCGTGGCTTACCCGAGCCGATGACTTGCTCAATCGTCACACAGGATATATCTATCTCGCGGGCAAATTCACGGATGGCTTCATTCGGATCTTCATATGTGAAGGGATCAATGTACATCTTCATTCCTGGAGTGGCTGTACGGAGCGGACGACAAATTAAAAGGAACTCAAAAAAACACATCAAGCACAAATCATATAAAAGAGCGCAAAGAAGGGAAAAAATGCAAGTGTTTGATTGCAGATGTGAACAGCAAAAATGGGAATGATTTCTGTGACAAGGTGATGGCGTGACAGGGTGGTTTAAAAATGTGGATTTTGCTTTTTTTCCTCCAGGTTTCGCAGAGGTCAGCAAGCCAAGCCATCTTTTTTTTGTATTCCATGCTGGCAAAGGAGATGGAGTGTATGATGGGAAGGGCTACAGTTGCGGTACGTTTGAAGCACGCCAAGGCATTGCCAAGAACAGTGCATTTTTTACATTTAGAACTTATAAGGTAACAACTTAAGCTTCAGCTCAAACCATAACCAATTGAAGAGTATATATATATATCACGAAATTCACGAAAATAACTGCCGAGAGCCAACTGTAGTTGCACGCGCACAAAGAATGTACGTTCGAAACTTCAGGCTCTGTCAATGACTCTTGGTAAAAGGGAAAAAAATAGGGTGAAATGTCATAAGATTAGGAAAATGAAACTCGTACAGAAAACGCTGTGCACTCCAGAACAGCTCATACATCAACTGGGAGATGTACACAGTCACGTCTGTAACGCCTTCAGGGTCCGAGTGCCTCAGTCTCCACCCCATACAACGCATTAATGTTAAAAACAATGTCAAATATGCTGCATTAGAGCCAGCAGGGCTATGTGTTACATGAAAGTTATGCAGCATTAGGCTTCACAGACTTGTTTCACATGTTTTTTTTTTATGGGTGCTCCTTATAGCAGCTGCCCCTTTGCCAGCACGTGGGAAAGGAATTAATGCATATGTGGCCATTATGTGAACAGCTGCACATTTTGTGGAAGTTACACTTGCTATGTGAATAATACTCATTTGCATCTTTCCTTTGTAAATGTATTATTACTTGTGAAGTTGTGATAAAAAGTGTTATTACATAAAACAAATAGCCAAACGGGAGAGTGGAAAAAAATGTATCCGCATTAATGTGTCGCATTATGTTTCGGGTCATTACAGAAGCTGAAGCATTCTTCTGTGGTTTTGGCTTCAACAGCGACATATTTAAAGAACCTTACAATTATATATTTTTTGGTGCACGATGAATGTCAAGTAAAATAAAAGAGGAAAAACAATTCCACACACACAAAACTCACATTTGGAAATCCATGCATTACTTGAAATGAGTGAATGGCCACTAACACATGGTTTCAGTTATAATTAAAGTTTTGGGTACAAACCTTTAAATTCAATATACTCACAGTGGCCAGTGTGATACTGCTGCAGCTTGTCTGTGTACTCTGGATCGGGTCGTCCGTAACTGCGTTTCCTGTCCAACGAAATGAAACGTCCGTTAATCAGCCGAAAATATTAACATGTCGCGGCAGTCAAATCGTTTTTCCTTGTCATTTTTGAGCTTTGCCGAGCAGCGAGTGGTCACTGGTCTTGCCACGGACAGAATTCCACGCGCTCATCAGGGAATATTAAGCACGGTAATTCTAACTGCTACCATGGAGAGGGAGAGGCCGGGGAGAACTTTACATTAATGAAACTTTTACGTCTGATGCCGTCCGCAAACAAAGTTATTCAGGCCCCAGCTCGAAATCCTCGGGGGGGATATCGCAACAGATGTGCGTAGTTCACATTTCCCTGTAGCCAAAACGCGCCGCACCAACGTCCGTAGGGCGGGCGTTTTTTGAGAGCGGCTGAACACTTAAGGGCTTTTAGCTTGGCCCACACTGTGCAGCGTGATTGACAGAGGCTGCTTTAATTCAATAAGAAATCAAGTCGGCCACAGAATTAATACAGCTTATCATAACGCACGTGCAAGCGCACGGACAGACATGCTGCCTCGCGGATGCACTTACGTACGAATGGACAAAAGATGGCCAAAAATGTGTACGTACGTATCGTGCAATACAATGCGCAAAGACATCACAGGTGATGCACAAGGTGTGTGGCTCTCCGGTGTGTTTTCGGGTTGTACCGCGTGTTGTTCGGCGCAATGTCCGACAAATGTCAAACCGAACGTTCAGTTCCAGAAGAGGGCTCCCCCAGCAACTGGAGCAAAATGTCAGACATGGCGCTGAACCATACGAGGTACAAACCCGAAGACACATTGGAGGGCTATACAACGCAACCGCAAACCCCTACGCAGTAGCACATAAGCGGCTTGCTACGAAAAATTAAGCACCAAATCATTGTCACGTCAAGTGAGCTCAAAGCAAGTCGCTGTAGACCAATAGATACCTGCAGATGGCAACATGCATGCTTCCAATAACGAGAGAATCTCCATTCCCATTTTTTTTTTCCAATTAGGAAAGCACCGCACGGCACACAGCCCCCTCTCGCGAGCCACATGGCGCCTCAAAGCGAGCAGCGACACGTGGTGTCGATCGCTCAACGAGAGCGATTACAAGCGTCAGGCGTTCATCCTCTCGGCCCGGTGAAACCACGAGGGCCATCGCTGAACCCATTTGCATTAAAACCGGCCGACAATAACCCCTCGGACAAAAGACTGCTCCCCTCTCCCTGCCTCCTGGAGGGGGGAGCGCGTGGTCGCGTCAACCCCAATCGAATCGCTGCCATTTTATTCGCACCGCCATGCAAAGGCTGCAGTCCGCACGCCGTGCGGTCCGCGTGTGCCTGACTGCGGAGGTATGGGTTGGTGTTGGGAATGTATCACACCCTTTTGTTGTTTTTCTTTCGCAACTGAACAACTTGTGTTTTTTCAACACCGGACATTCATTCGCAGCCAGACCCGGAAGCAACCTCATCAATTTGGCATTACTTCACATGTTCGCCCTTGGGAGGATTGAAAAACAGATGTTCTTTGATGGCAAGAGTGTTTATAAATATTCTCTCGCTTTTTTTTCTTACTTTTTGGCTAAACGGCAATTATTGAATGCCAAAACGTATCCCCATTGCTCCATGATGAAGTGAGCCATCAAAGAAATATAACTTAACTGCTAAAAGTAAAATTTAGAGCATCCCTCTCCCCACTCAAATAAGCATTGATGGAAATATCCAAACACCTATCACTTGTTTGAAAATAGAGACATATTGGCTCTACGTCGAGCACATTTCGAGAGGCAGACACTCCAGGAATTAGTGTCTCGCTCAAAGAATGTCTGTTGCCTGTGCTGCTAAAGTCTTTTTCCTTCCGACGCACACGTGTGACCTTATATGTAATATTTGATCCGTCTCTGACACTGTTTACTACTCCCGGTGAGCTGCTGCCAAATGAAATGCAAACACCCGTAAGGCAGCCGGTATGGTTTATTATCATTCAATCACCGTGACTGAGCCAAGAGAATCCTCATTCTTGAGAACATGTACCATGTATGTAGACAACATCCATAAACTGAAGCTGGGATTCACAACCCAAGGACCTCCAAGCTACTGGCTCAGTGCCCCGATACAGAAACTGACCCTCCTGAGCTTCCCATCCAATCACCGTAACGAACATTTCAAATAATGACACCCTTTAAAACGCAGCACACGGGGCCGTAGAGAAGCGACGGGCAATTTTACCGAGCGAGCATCCAGAACTGTGGCTAAGAAGACACGGCCGTTTGACGTAATTTGACGTGTCGAGAAAGGCTGCCTTTATTTTATGATATCACGCAGCTTGGCGAAAAGCCAGAATCCCGCATTGTGCCAATGGAACCGTGCTCGTTGTCGGAGCAAGCTGCTTACACGATGGAAACCCACACTTAGAGAGTGAGTGACAAGTCTAATGGAAAGGGCTTGTGCATAATTAAATTACCTTTATCGTTTTCTCGGTACTCCATGGGAAACCGAACTAGATCTTTGTAGAAATACTAAGAGGAGGTATGCGGTATCCTTCAGAGATTTTTTTTTTTTTTTACAATCGCGCAAAAACTTGTTGAATTCCAAATGTATTATGTTTTAGTATACATGTCCATTGTGCTGCGGAGGCGAAAGCTCAACCAATACTGGATCGAGAATGATAATTGCGCAGCATACTTACTGTACGAGTGAACAAAATCATGGTCCACACAAATATTGCAAGAGGGGAAAAAAAACCTTTGCAATGTCTATTCTGCGTGTGGGTAATAAAACACACTCCAAAAAAAATCCCACCATGTATAGAAAAATATGTGGAAGCTTATTGTTTATAGCCCGTGTCAAAAGGTCTAAGGGTTTACATTCTTTGAAGAGCAATGGGCAGCAATAATTTCCACTGGTTTTTTTTTTTGCAAGTGGTGCTAACTCCACATTACAGGGGCAGGTCCCGTGATCTCCACAGGGCAAATTATGACCTCGCATGGAGTTGTGCTCATTTTCGGGACCCCAAATAAATGCGACTCAAATACCTATGATTAGCACGCTTGGCTAAATACGGTGCAAAAGAAGATCAACATATCTACCCAACTGCGATTAGGACGGTTGGCTATATATAGTGCGATAGAAGATCCAACATACGTGCATACAAAGACAAGGATTTGAACTCTGTCGAACCAATTTGAGTCAAGTGCAGGGCCACACCAATGATCCCGCATTGAATGGACGAATGAGAGCGGCACTTTACCTGCAGTAGACTATGGCGATGACCACCACTGCAACGATGAACACAATGGTGGCAGCTGCAGAGCCGGCTATGAGCGGCAGCTGTTCTTTCAGCTTTTCTGGGTAGCTACCTGCAAAGGAAAACGAGCGGCGGTGAGTGGCGACGGTACAATGCTGGTCGCGCAGCAACAGACAGACAAGTGAATGCAGCGCGAGGCTTTATTGGCGAGTGGTATTTATTTCGGCAGCGGTGAGAGCACTGCGCTTCGACACACGACGACCCGAGTTCGATTTGCCGGCCAACTGTGTGTTGGGCATGAGAGTGGGGAGTTCTATCCGAGCCGATCCTGGGCCCCATCGTACCCTCCAACGGCTTACACTGGTCTGGGGGGAGCATTCCCCCATTGTTGTTATTAAAGTATTTATTTACCTGAAGAGGGCCTGATGAGTCTTGCCATAGTTAACACATTCCTAATTGAGATGTTGATCAAAGCAAAATTACGAAACAATATTCAGTCCACAAGAGTTGGGCTTCAAGTCACCAAAGTGTATCGGTGGCCAAGTGAGCAATGGGGTGGTGCTCATCTCCAATAATGGCCCAGAGACAATCGTGCAAATTCAAAATTCACATGGCAGAGGCCAGTCTTATATAAGTCACGTGGACACACAATCTGCCCAATTGTACGTCAAATGCTCCAATCACAGCACCAGTGCTCGTGGGTGTACACCATTCGTAATGAAACAAACAAAAATATTTTATCTTCTTGGTTCTTTCGGTTAAGTCACGTAGAAGGGAAATAATAAAATTTAAAAAATAAAACATAATAAAATACAATTCTCACGACGTTTCGGCCACAACGCAAGCAGCCGTCCTCAGGTGAAGAACAGATTTGTCGGAAAGACAGCGTCTTTGTGAAGAACAGGTCTGTCGGAAAGACAGCGTCTGTTCTTCACCTGAGGACGGCTGCTTGTGTTGTGGCCAAAACGTCGTGAGAATTGTATTTTATTATGTTTTATTTTTATTATTTTATTATTTCCCTTCTACGTGACTTTACCGAAAGAACCAAGAAGATGAATCCCCCCCCCCGCAAAAGGACACTGGAGACTTTGCCATTTATCAAATACTATGTGATGCCTCGAAATCCGTAAGTGACCTACCAACCCCTGATGGTCTCTGCGGTGCATCATTACAGGTGGGAGCCCACCTCCCTGAATGTCACAATGAGGACAATTACGTCTCTTAAAAGGCCCTCTTTGTCCATACGGGTCACTGGAACAATGCAGCTTCAACCTGCTCGCCTGAATGAAAGCACGGTGCTTCCCTCTGTCAGCAGTGCCGTGAATGAGCCTATTGCAAAAGTTTGGTCTCTCTAGAGGCTCCAACATTGCATTATTATCCGCTGCACGCTCACAGAGTAAGAGACCACAGGCTATGGGACCTGGGTAAACAACTTCATTTAGCTAGAATGTTTATTTGTGTGTGTGTGTGCGCATGTGTGGGGAACAGTGGTTAGAATACCGTTCTATGAACCCAGCAGCCTGAGTTTGATTCATATTCACAGCTATCATCAGCAGGTGATTATCTGGGCGGGCCACCCATATGTTGACTCGGCCTTAAATGAGTTCCTGATGCGATATGTCAACATCAGCACGGGGGAAACAATGCGTCATTCCAGTCTTAATATATGCTCACGTACAGGCATGTATCCCACCAGTTTGTTAAAGTGTGCATGGGTGAATATTTGCCTTTACCTCATGTGTACTGTGGGTGTGTATTTGCGTGGTGGAGCATTAAAGCAGCGGTCCGTGTACTGCCCTGTGGACCGCTCAACCCACACGTTTGATTCTCGCTCACGGCTGGCATCAGTGATGACTGATATCCGAACTGGCTACAGGGGCCATTCTTTTGTCGACTGAAATGATAACCTTTGTACGTACGGTGAACAAACATCGCGAGTGGCCGTTATGGACCACAACTTGAGCACGCCACCAGCCTATATTTCTCAAAAAGCCTCGGAGGCCAAATGGGCGATATTAGCATTTTTTTTGTGTTTACCCAATTCTTTGCCTTTTTAGATGTATGGTACACAGGTGCTCACTAAAAGCACAGCCCTTATCTATATATCCATGTGTGTGTTCAGTGCGTTTGTGCATGGTGGTTATGACACCGCCTAATCTTGGCAATGTTTTACGAGAGGCAGAAAATGGGTCGTACGATTTTCAGTACACGAAACGACACACGATGTGTTCCTTGAAGTGCACGCACGGTGTGCACGTGTGCGTTCGCAAGCGTCCTCATCCACTGAACGTGTTTTCACCGCGCGCAATTTTTTCATGCCATAAAAAAATGGCAGCAAAAAAAAAAGTGTGTTTGCCAGGAATTGTGAATACATAAAAAAAATACTTTAAAATTTAACGATCTTCCAAAAAGAACGTACAATTCAGAGGTTTGTTCGTCCCTCACATCTGCTGAGATAAAACACTTCATTTAGCTCGTGTTTCCAAAGTAATGTAGCAACTAAACATTGTTATAATTGCTCTATCTCTCTACATACACTCACGGATAATTATTTTCAACATTTAACTCGTGTATATGGCTTCAGTTATGCATCCTGAATGAACCGTACCTCAGCATTTGTATAGAAACACCACCACAGCAGTAGCAAGTCTGTGGTTTAGTCTCTCAATTGTATTCAACTTCTCAGCACAACGTGTTTCACAAGCCTCACTGCTGCTGATGAGACTCAGAATGTGAAACGTGCTGCAACAAACAGCTGCCAAACAATATTGGTCTGGAAAGCCAATCGGATGATGGGATGACAAAAAATATATCAGTATTTAAATGTTCAGATACAAAATGGGGTTTTGCTTATGTATTTAATTGTTGATTTTCCATGTGCGTGTGTGTGTATGTTACTCCAAAAGGTTGTCACTGTAAGACTCTAAGGGAATCATTAATTACTGGTCACTAAGTAATTAGCTGGTCACCGAGTGACCAGTGGACTGAGCTACGGATGCAGAGGAATCCAGGGGCTGCTGGGACAGATGTACGAACGACTTTGGAATTCAACAAAGTAGAATGTCGAGCACTCCACTGTGACTAGGAGGTGCTGACAGTGTTAAGACTGCAGAGCATGTGGCATTTAACATCAACTCGGAGGAGATAACCTTTGCGATGGCAGTAAAAAGTACACATCTGTTCGTTTTTCTCTGTCCAAGTATTTATGTGTCTATATACACACACACACACACATCTTACTTGCAACAAAAAAAAAGAGAGACATATTGAGCTCAAAGAACTCCAGCCTTGGTCAAATAAATAAAAGCAACCGGACTAATCTGTGTCTGCATCAACAACACATGGAGTGCTCTCTCTCTCTCTGTCTGTTGTTTTAATCGTGATGAATGTGGTCATTGTCTGCATGTGGCCATACCACACCCTCGGCATTGCTGGACGTGCCTCGAAACGGACACAACTGCTCGGGGCGGTGATTGTCAGAGTGCGGTGGCCCACGATGCTCCTACCAGGAGACCGGCTGGGCTGCGATTCAAATGCAGGTTGATCCGGGCAATAACGAGGAACGTTCATGCCGCGTGTTATTGATGTTAATGCATACTCTTTGGTTCTTTCGGTAAGAAATAAATTATTTTAATTTAAATAAATTATTTTAATTTATTTCTAACTACGTGACTTTACCGAAAGAACCAAAGAGTATGGATTCCTGCATTCACGAATGCCTCAAATCACGTTAGTGTTTTACTCGTGATATTTAATCAAAACAAAGAGGTAAACTTCCCTGATTAAACTACCATAAACCTAACATCGAAATGACCCCCACCTAAAACCTGATAGCTGCTACGTTTTTGTTTTGTTTCGGCAATATGAATAATTTTGTATTACTGGTATTTAGAGAGAGAAGTGAATGCGTTTTGTTACGAGGGATGTGGGGGAGCTGGGTGGTCCAAGGAAGTTTTTGTGTCGGCCGAGTGGTCTGCGGGCCTAACAAGTTTTGGGAACACGGACTTGGAGTATGTGAATAACATCAGCTGGCATGAGCTCACATATATTATTTGTATTATTGTGGCTTATGTGTATTATCAACTCCATGCTGATCAACTCTGGTATTCCCTGTGATTGTCTCTTCCCCCCTCCCCCACCGAGTTCTAATAAGCTTGCTAAATTCAATAAATGTTTACACTCTTATCTACCTACAACTATGATAATGTCATTTGTTGCTGTCCGCTGGATACTTTTGAGCCTGTTGTGCCTGTGTTCAGAAATTGCGATAAAAAATACATTTGAATCCGAAATTGTACGTGTTGTACCGGTTCATTTCCCACTGCCGTACATAAGGTGTCATCACCAAGCAGCAGACAAGGTTGATTTAATAGCAATTCAAATAGATGTTCAAAGAGTCGTCTTGCTCAAACTATTGTGGGATGCTATTAATATCCATCCATTGCTGGGCGGAAGCGAGTGAGGAACGGTTCAAAATTCAATGGGTGCGGGGCCATTTGTTGACGCAAGTCGGAGGGACTTGTTGACTATCCCACATCGGTTGTAATCTCCTGAACGCTTTAGACAAACGTTGAACTTTATTTCAAGCCTACCGTCTATCGGTCAACTCAGACAGAGATGACAAACGTGAATGACTCAGGTAGGCTTATGAGCAAAGGCTCCCCACAATGCCCGCCAAGAGCATTATGACTCAACTCCTAGCCCGTGCACTTACCCGACCCCTCGGCATTCCACGCATTAGGCCGTTTAGGACAGAGCTTCTTGGATGACACCGCAAGAAGTGGCCCTCAAGAGTTTGCTTACTGACCCCGCCGATACCTGACCCAAACATTGCCCTGGATTGCTTCGGATCAGGTTGCTGAAGTGTAGGAATCTTACGTCCGAAACATTTTTTTTTTAAATGCAGGATGCAGTGTGCTGGATTTGTGTCCCCGCACTTCATATAACCCCCGGTTAGCAACACCGCCCCTGCGTTTATTGAAAGGCGATATAACTAACAACACGTTGGACATTGGTACCTTCAATTGGGATATGCCGATGTTATGTTAGATCGGTGAACAAATGTATTGTTTTCAGCTCGTATATAAGGGGGCCCAAGAATGAAACAAAAAACTAAGTTAACGAGTCGAAGGGACTAAATCAGGAACCAGTCTCTCTACAAGGACAGCCACAGTTGAGTGTTCATTAAGTGGTGCTTGCTTTACGGATTTTAAGTGGGATGGGCTGGTAAAATATAGTATAATGGAAGGTCAATTTTCCAACTTGCCCATTTTCTACATGCAATGGTAGGAGATCTGTAATGTCACTGGAGGATTGAGAATGATCGTAAACCAGTAACCAATTAGTCACGTGACTTCCAATTTCACTTTGCGTTTGTGTATTTTTGCAACGCTATTCATCGTAAATGCAGAAATCAACGCGTAATTCGGATTTTGCCTTACTTAAGAAATGGAATGTTGGTGTTTTTATACGCGTGCTCTATCATCTGTAAATTTCACCAATCAAATGATCCTTCCTTGATGAAAAATTGGCCCAGTTTTGTGCAAGCTAAAAGCCAATGGAATAACGCAAGAAGGAAGAAACTAACACCGAACTGCTGAACAGAAGGGATCTTTGTTGCATTTCTTAAACCCAAGGAACAGGCCACTGCATTGCTGTGGAAATAAATGTATCAAAAGAATGTTCCACTCCTGCGAATTCCCTTAAGAGTGCCATAACATACTTTCAGTGCATTGTAATTGGAATGTTGCGCTCATATAATTTGTGACACTAGCAATTGCCCGTCTAATTGGCTACAAAACAATGTGGGCCTGGAAACACTGTGCCGAGTACTTTATAGTGATTTGCCGTAAAAAAGCAAGTTTTATTCTCGAATGTTTTACGCGTTTGCAATTAAGGTAAAATCCCAAGAAAAAAATAACTATAATTAAAAACGAAGCGCACCTCTTACGAAATGCATTTCAAAAGTGGGATTTCAGTTCATGCTGGCAAAGTTAAAGTCTGCAGAATATGCTAAGAGCGATTAATGGGATCGATGCAGGCATTGACACTGAAAATGTAATTAGGAGTACACTCTTTCCTTCACCACGCAGGGACCTGCCGATCGATTTACTCCGGTGTACCCTTTGATACTGCCGGGAGGATGGAGGTGGAGGATGTGAGAAGTTAACCCGTCGTTTCAACTGCTACACTGGGAGATTGAACCGGCGACAGCTGAATTGCAAGTACAGTGTGCTCGCCTTTGCACCACGGCAGGCAGAATCTTAAATGGACTAAATAAATTCCTTGAAATAAAAAGTCGGATGATTTTGCAGGATACATGCTTTGGCTCGTATACAATAACGTAGTATGTACGTTATTTTTTTCATTAAAAGTACCATGGCATTAACATATGACTTATCCTAGGTGTGCATGTGTTTATTGATACGGATGGTACCGGACATTTAGATAACGCGATACAAAATGTATATGGGTACACATTCTTCCATGAAACTTTGGCAATGCAGTCACAAGCCACTCGTAGATCTTCACATGATATTGATAGATGTGAAATTAGCACAGGATATCCCTTTCAGTTTCTCGTTCAAGTCATTCTGTAGCATCCTTAGCACATTTAGATACAAGAACGGGCACTGATTTAATTCAACACAAATCCTCTAAACTTCTAAACAACGCAACAGTCTCCACACTATAAAAGCACATCGCTTAATTGTGCACTCCAGTAAATAGACACACAGTAGTAGGGGGGGGGGGGGAAACTCCTGTCGATCATGTGACACCGCTCGTGGATAATTGCACACTTCCAACTTGTCGTCCCATTCCAGCCGCTGACCGAGAGATTTTGATAACGAGCAGCACTTAGGCGAGTACAGGAAAGGGCAGGAGAAGGTGTTAAATGCGGCATGCGAGTAAGTACCGGCACCTCCGATGAGCATGGTTGGCTACGTACGGCGCGAAAGAAGTTCAACGTACATACAGAGCTGACGAGGCTGACACTTACCCTCTTCCAAGGTCTGGAAGTACATCTTCCCGCTGTAACGGCCAAAGCCAGAAACCGTTCGAGCGCGGACTTGGAACACGTAGATGGTGCCAGGCTGCAGTCCGTCCACGCGGGCCGTGTTGGTCTGACTCCTCATGAACGAGGCATTGCGCTCATCCTGGCTCTGTCCCGAGGGTGATAACAAGTGCGGGGGCGTTAGTCGACAGCAAGCCACATTTCTGCCGACTTATTTGAATCATCATCATCATGGCATTCTTTATTATCTCAATGTTCAAGCTGTAAAGACTAATCGTGGGAAGCACCTATCAAACGAAAATAATAGCACAGGCCGGGGAGATAAAAAATAAAAAGTAAGTTTCGAACAACAAAAATAAATCAGTAAAACGCGCTCAGACTTGCGCAACGTGCAAAAGAAAAGTCCATCAGCAGTGCCAGAACGTGAGCACTTTCTTCAGGAACTGCGGCGGTACGACTGCGGTTGTGCCGTGGAGCTCTCCGCTGCGTTCTCGGGGTTGTGCCGTACGCTCTTCGCTACGAAGCTGAACCTTTCGCTCCAACTAATGGAACAAGCCGGCTCCTGAAGAAGCTGCTTGCGGTTGTCCTATGTAGCTCAACCGCTGAGATTTAGACGAGGAACTTCCACCGCTGAGAGGAACGTCATCCCGTTGCTCATTTGAGCAGGGAGACACTACGATTTTGACGTGATGAGAGTGAATCATGATGGCAAGAATGATCATGGAAAGCATCTTAAGATGTAAATGTGTTATTCGATGCTAGATCTACATCAAAAGCAATCGTATTGTTTAACAATTTTTTATGTAAATACATATCTATCGACCTTTACCTTTTCGTAGTAGCGTAATTCGTAGTCAAGAATGATTCCATTTGGCCGCTCAGGTTGTGGCCAGGACAGTGTAATGCTGGTCACACTTGAAGTCACCTGGTGGATTATGGGAACTGAAGAGGGAGCTGAAAATACACGCGCACAGACACACACGCACCATCGGTGGGCTGTCTACAAAGAAAACCCGATAGCACCTCCTACGCAATTTGACACAGATGCTGAACAATGCAGCAGAAGAGTGAAAGAGAAAGGATTATATATTTCCAACATTATTACATTCAAACTAATCTCTCTCCGGCGTTCGTGACCTATGTTTCCCACACGAATGTTTGCATTTTTTTTATTTCATGACCAATAAAAACAAACTAATCTCTCTTCCCACCTTCCTCACCCATCTCTTCACTCCACCACCCTTTAAAGCCCCCCCCCCCCTCCTCCTCTAACGCTTACTCTCGATGGGATTCTAATGATGAACAAAATCGACCAACGCATTAATGCTCTGCACCGGCCTGATGTGTAGTCGTGCCTGCTAAATGGCATTCGCGTAAGCAAGCCAACTTGGTCTGCGAGCCCAAAAAAATAACTCCCTGACCCTTCTCATCAATTGATCATTCAATTCCAATCACCTCCGCAGCCCCTGGGTGTTTATTTATTTATTTTGCTGCTATGCAGCGAGGCGGCAAAAGGCGGGAAGCATGATCAATGCAAAACGTACGTTTTTGTCTACATTCTGAAGAACCGCACAGTGCAGGCAAAGCAAAAACAAAACCACGACAGCTCTTTAAAATTAGCACGCTATTAAGTAGGTTTATGGAATTCACTTAGGTTTACATTTAACAAAAAAAAATCCATTTGCAGGCAGATTGTGATTTTTATTTGGTACAATGCTGCAGGTTATTATGAACGCACAATTAAAAGTGTTGTCCATTAGAATTGTGTGCTACTCTATATGGAAAACGAGTGAAAATAAAAAGCAATAATTGAACGTAAACATCTGTGACCTCGTTTCCAAGTAACATTCAGACATTCGAAAAATTATTCACCTACTAACGTCCAAAAATTGTATCACATTACGAAAGACGTTTAACACCTGCACTTTTTATTATTTGTCTTGGAAAATAACCGCTGCATGTGTTTAAAGTTTGGCTTTTAAAAATAACGACGTACGAACACAAACCGACAAAAAACACTAAACGCCTACAGCCAGCAAAATAATCGCAGCGGCTTAACGTGTTGCCACCTTATTTGTTTGCACCCCCCCACCCATCTCCAATTGTATTTGCCGCACTACGTTTCAAAACGAACTCGTCTCATCCCCAGCCTAGTGGAAAGGGAGGGCATCTTCAGTCATGCCGAGCACATACTGAGCCCTAAGCCATGCCGGCAAGAGGGCAATCAATAAGGCAGACAGCGAACAGTTGTTGCATTAAAGTTTTCTCAAACGTGAGGCAACCGGTTAATGAACTTGCGCTTAGATTCTGTCATTTATCCAGAGGACAGGTGGGGTACATTATAGGGCTTTGCAAAGCGAGTTATGCCAGCGCACAATCCCAAAATTCTCTGCAAAGCTTTGCTCAACCCTGCCAAGATTAAATTATGCCAGGCCATCGATAGGGAATACCCACCACGGATGCTTTTGGAACATTATGATTTTCGTCTTGCCATATGAGTGTTTTCAAATCAAAATGTAACATGCCAATCCCCACTGGAAGGGAAAAAAAGATAAGATGGGTGGTCCAAGAGTGTGTTGAAAATGAATAATTTTAATGGGAAAGAATGCCGCTTGTTATCTTGTTAAATATAGAAACCAGTAATGGCAAAATTCTATATTTTATATATACGCATGATGCCAACATATATTAAGACAGGCAGTCAATATGTTGAGCTTAAAATACCAACAGTAACGGCAATCAAGCAAAGCCTAACAGGACTGCAACTTCCTTCGACATAATACATGGGATGAAAGTAAACGTAATTGTAATAACCATTTATCAATTACCATATTTTATTTTGGGACGTTACTGTCATTTATCTACTGAGAGCAATGTGACATTTACTTTATTCCTAAATAATATAAGAACTGCAGGCAATTCATTTAGCTAATCCTCATACAGAAACCGCCACAGCTTAGTGTTGTAAAATATAAAAATATATATTTACAGGAAATCAAAAACAACACTTCTTAAAAGCCCAGACATGCATGTACTTTTTTATATATTAAAATTAAAACAGCCTAAAACAATATGAAGCCATTTAAATGGTTCAAGCACTGCATATTAACAACACTTTTAAATTAATTGCAAATATGCATGCATGTTTTAAAATAGGGTTAATCACGTGTCTGCCTGTGCTTGCACACCACTGCAAACAGTCCCCTTAAGTTTTACTTGTGGGTACACGTAAAAATCATCCCTGGTTTGGAGAGAAGTTATGTTTGTCTATGCACACGTCGAAGAAGCAGCAGCAGCATTCTAGCTGGAAGCAATGTAAAGTCCATTACCTTCAGATTCCTCTCCCAGATGAGGTCCAAGAATGACTATATGATCAAATGAACAATAATGGCGGGTACGATGGGCCGAGAACATGAATACAAATAACAACAGAAACAAAAAAGGGAGGGCAAAAAAAGTACCATTAGAAGCATTCAAAGTAAACCAAAAAAGTGGTGAAAATAATTGCAAGCAAATGTTTTTTTGTGGCTTCGTACACCAAACACAAAACAATGAGAACGTAAGAGAGAGGGCGGGGGGAGGCTAGAACTGGCAAACGGTTAACGTCACATTGGTATAAATGATCTGTCACGAAATTACGTATATGTATTACACCTCTGCTCGGTGCAAACGCATTGCCATTTAGGGGTTGGAACGTTTATGCACAGAGCGCCCGTGTAGAATGCCACACACCATAAAACACAAGTCGATGTGTGTCTCCCCCTGCCCAGTGTGGCGTCCATGCTCTTTGGTGGATCTGCCTGCTGGTGATGATGCCCACATTGTTAGGCTGTGGGCCAGTTTCTCCTAGCAGAGCCATTTGAGGCTCAACTGCTGCCAGACTTTACCATGCAACCCACCCTCTCCCTCCCCCCCAAAAAAACAAATCAGATGGCAGTTTGATGAGAGTTAATAGGCACACCAGGCACTGAAGTGTTTATCCGAATAATTATCAACTAAGCAACGCAAGCACATTTACACATCTTACTGGCATCGCGTTCAAACTAAAATGAATAAATGGCGGTTTGAATGATTAATTGTACACATATTATGCATTTTTACAGCGCAGTGAATCCAGCAGATGTGATGAAGTGTATGAGACCAGTACTTGACTGCAGCCTGGCAAGGTGCGTTGAGTGTTGTGCATCTATCCTGTATACTTAACCCTATCAAACAAGTGTGCAATTTCCATCATAAACCTTGAGCAACCTACAGAGATGGGCACCCCCTATCTTTCCTCTGTCGTGTATAATCTCACAAATGTTTATTCGAGCCCCATGAAATAGTATGACGATTACAGTACAGTATAATATTATACATTGTACACAGATAGCTCACGTACCTATAGTCAAGTCAATTATGCTGCTGGTTAACACGTGGCACCTTTCTGGCTGAAATCGCCATTACATCATTCAACGTAAAAAAATGAAATCCAGTAAACAACAAATTGAAGCAAGTTGTGGCTGTAAGTTAGTTGTTACAACCCTTCAGTGGAACTTTAAAACAAGATACCAGAGTCTATCCTTGCAAAAAAAATATAGGACGTTTTTTTGTTACTAATTATTCAGACATCGTGGTGTGTGTGCATCAGTATATTAGGTCTACTCAGCCTTAAATGAGTACCTAGTGCGTCATGTACAAACACTACCACTAGGGAGACAAAGGCGGCAGGGCGTGGTGTCGGCCACCCAGCCCCTCATGTGCCACAGTGCCGGCCTTCATTAGGTGCTCGGTAACAGCACTTGCCCCAATAGACCGTTAAGGCTATACGGGGATCTTTGTATATTACCTATGCATGCCAAATTGAATAATACCAACGTCTATGCAAAAGCACATCGATGGGAAGTCTAGGGGGAAGAAAAAAAAGAGGCAAATAATACTTAAATGTAATTGTACTGCCTGTCCATGATTGCATTATAAGTCCCAGGGTGTCGCTCTTTTCAAGATCGCTATGCAGCATTCAGAAACAGAACGTGTTGTTATTGACAGATGCAAATGTCTTAAGCGTGTATGCCAACTCTGATCTTGAATGCATTGGATAATAGGCTCACTTAACCATACAAAAGGCTGATTGACAGTTGCTAACAAGTTTAATTACCGGAAAGTCTTTAATTAGAAGAAAATTATGTTCATTAATAGAACATCTGACATGTTTACTGGCAGATAGAAAAACTGTATTCTGGCCAAGAAATATCAATCGGTGATTTTTTTTTGTCCGTCTTTGGTGCCAATTTTATTTCAGACTGGTGAAATAAAAAAATCACCGTGACAGGTTTTGGCTATGGACAAGGACGTTGGAGAAGAGGGAATGGCTATACGGAGCAGTGGACGTACGTTGCGCGAGGCCAATTCTTAACAGCTTGCAGACAGCGTCGTCCACGTGGGCAAAACACTTGCCGCACCCGTGCACCGCGCTCACTGAAGCAAAAGGCATTCGATTACCACGGACGGCATCGGTGTTACACGGCAGCGCAAGCGCGGCCTTCCGATTGCCTTCTATTGGCTTTTGCACCACGCGTTGTTTGGGCACGGTGTCCGATAGACGCTCCCCTCTCGAAGCGCCCGGGGGAGCTTCACACGTGCTGGGAGTTACTGAGGAAATCAAGCCAGCAATAAAGATGTACTGGACATCTGTGAACAAAATGATAATAATAAAGTGCCTCGTAGCTCATCGGATTCCTCCGGCCTAAGTTAAGTTGGCGATTCCGAAGAAGCTCCCTGTGAGCACGTGGGGGGGTGGGGGGGGGGGTGACACGACACTGTGCGTGCCGCCGAACAACGCACGCCAAAAGCCACAGACAACGCCCCAACGCTGTCCTATGAAATCCGCTTCACCGTAACAGTCTCCCATCGCGGTCTGGGACCCTTCCTTGTGCGTGTCCAGCATTGCGGAGCATTATTTTACTTCCAAAACG